CAAAAAAAAGAGAGCCACTCATAGTAAGTTAATAGTTTTACAAAATGGAGAAAAAGAAGAAAAAAATCACCCAGATTGCCAGGGTTTAACCGTTAATGACAATGAAGATGAACCTTGAAAGCTGCTAGAAGATGGCAGAGATCACTAGGCATATCTCTGCAGTAACAATTCTCACATCATCAAAGGAAGAGAAAAACTGTCTGAAAGAAAGAAAACAAAAAAAAAAAAGTGAGTGTAGACAGAGCTTAAACAATGGAACTGCCAGCAGTTTGAGATTTTTTGAAACAGTAAAGTATTGTCTTTCAGGGAGGAGAACCATGCAGAACTTCTTACACTCCTGACATAAGAAATAATAAAATAAATGAGAAGATTATACAAAAGAGTTATGAGTAACCAAGAACAAAGATTGATACCTTTGGTTTGGTGATGTGAGGAGGGCAATAAGGATATGACAGCATCTCAAAGTTTGGTCTATACTAAATTGCCACAAACTCTTCAAACTGGAAGAAATGGAAATGAACAAAACCAAAGTTCTTTATATCTTCATGTATTTCCATCATACCTGTCTCAGGCTAAATTAAAGCTGCCATTGAATGCTCATGAGCTTCCTCTTCAATCCTTCCACCTCTAGTTAACAGATTTATCAAAGTTAGCAGAGTGAATGATGAAAGAAAACTTCTTTACTGTTTTTCTTCAAACTTGATTCTTCCTCCGGGAAGCTTGAAAAACGTATTCCACTGCTTGTGAGCGATGGTGGACCCTACAAGATCTTTTTCCCTGTCCTTCATGAAATCTTCGTCCCTGTCCCTCGCACCAACCTGCTCACCGACACTGGCTTTGCCACTACGTAAAAGAATTCTCGTGCAACCTTGAGATCTTCTCGCTGGTGATGCTGCTGCTGCTGCTGCTGTGATTCCAACTTACCTGTAGCATGAAATTGGCTCTACCATTGGGACTTCTAGATAGTCAAGAGCAGGAAACACTTTATAAATAATGTAGTATTACAACACAAATACAATTGAATCTGGCACCAATTCACTTAATTTGTCCAGATATGGCCATGGCCACTATTCTTTGTTTGTCTTTCTTAGTTCTCTTTTTCTCTGCAAGTTTGTGAAGTTGGATTGGATCTTACCTAGTGTGTCACAATAATTGATACACGTCCATGGGTGTGACAATGCTCCTTGTCTCCAGACTAATTGGATTTGTACAGCACCGTGCCCCTGTAGAGAAACGAGTGGTCATTAACCTGTTCTAGATCACCGCCACCACAGTGAAGCTCACCTTGCCACTGGGTTGAGCAGAAGTGATAGAGCAAACCAGTGATCTCATCAATCTCTACTTCTCTTGGGTGAAGGCTGACCCTGCAAGATCTTTGTCCCTGTCCCTCGCACTGACCTTCTCACCTGGCCACTACGTACATGTGACTGATCCCAAACTCCTAGTGGATGGTCTTAAGATCTTTTTGCTGGTGATGCTGCTGCTGCTGTGATTCTCTCTCTCTCTCTCTCTCTCTCTCTCTCTCTCTCTCTCTCTCCAGCCACTGCTATCATTTATCAGATACCGATATGTAGTGGTGCTCAAATTTTGTATCCTAGATCCACATGAGAATGACGTGATAGCAAAGAGCAAGACTTACCTGTAGCATTAAGTCGACTGTACCATTAGGACTTCTAGATAGCCTTTCTGTCACCATACTACAATAAAAAACTGTGACAAAACCATACCCCAACCGAAGAATTTCCTCTAGCTTTGACAACAAAACTTACAAAACACTATGATCACCTGTATCCAAAGATGTTCATTGACTTTCTCCAAAAAGAATAGATATCAGAGGTTCCACTCTGTAATCAGGACGAAAGGATAAATGTAAACACTGGTCACACAGATTGATACCTATAGGTGAGAGGATCATATGGGTGAAATATGTTCATCATTTGCCTGCATGTTGGCTTTTTTTCTTCAATGCCTTCATCTTCCCAGTACTCATGACCTGTTCTTATGCGAGCACATTCAAACAACATTGCAAAGACCTTAAATCATACACATACCCGTTCCAAAGTATACATTCTGGAGACTCAAAAACAGTGGTGATTCAACTGTGAAAAATGTGAGAACGAAACTTATCAATTGTGAAGAATCAAGGAGCTCGCTTTCCGAATGCTTCACAGTGACACGAGAGAGAGTCAAACATGAAACCCTTAGATATGAACAGCAATAAAATAAATACATAAGCGCTTCTGAAAAAATGCATTGAAAAAAACTGGTTTACCCTAAAAAAAAATGTTCCACCCTCAACTGTTTTTTCCCACATGTCTTCATCTCCACCATTAAGCTCGTAAAGAATCTCGATTGAATATGTCGCCCTTGCTCTTTTAAATATAGAAGGATGATATTCATGTATTATATAAAATTATGGATTTTACTTTTGCATTTCATATGAAAGGTATATAAAAATTTTACTTTTTTTTGTTGGAAAGTACTTTTCCAAAAAATACATTTTATTTGCAATGTAAATTAAAAAAAAATTTAAAGAAAAAACATCCATTAGCAAATTTATGGTTCGGAGCCAAAAACAAGAGTAAAATGAGACAACAATCTTCCATTAATCTAGTTGAAATAAAATAATTTACTGATTTTGTAAAAAATTTAAAATCCTAATGTAGGTTGCAGAGGAACAAATAAAAAATTAATAAACTGCCACAAAGTTTAAAATGTGTTAAAAATAATTAATAAAAGTAAAACAAAAGTACATCACCAATAAGAATGATATATGAATTATTTTTATGTGCAAAATTGTAAAATTCTATTTTTTAACAATTATTTTTAGATTTAACATTAACTAGCTAACTGTCAATATACATATATTTTATAAAGGAGTATATACTAAAATTTACAAAAATTTAAATATACTAAAGCTAAGGATTTCCATAAGAAATTAAAGAAAAATAACTATTAATTTAATAGTTAAAATAATAAATTCTTAAATTCAGAAATAAATTCATGATGCAAACTTCTAGATTGTATCTTTTAGGCCACAAACACATCTATTGCATTGTTCATGGTCAATGCAAGATCATTACTTGGGTATTTTTATGATGTCGTGCTTAAACTAGATAAGAGTAATTTAAACCTTTAAACCCTTGCCAGTTGACTAGCTTAATTGGGCACCTGACCAAAATGGGTCGCCATCATCTTATATAAACTGTAAGGAACTACGTGATATATGTACAACCGGAAGGATGAAGTCTTATGTGTGCATGGCTGCTGTGCTCCTCCTCGATTTCCTTGGTGCAAGCTATGGTTCTTCCGATAGGTGCTTCTGCCCTTGCTCATCTCCATCAGCCACTGTTGCTCCGCCACCTTTTCACTCACCTCCTGCACCATCTTCGCCACCACCACCGCCAGCTTTTCACTCAACTCCACCTCCAGTGTCTCTCTCGTTGGAAATCTCGTACGGAGGAGTGCCAGTAAGGATTGGAAGTATTTTCTCGTGCCGGGACACCGTGAGCACTCCTCAAATTCGAGTAACCGGCCACGCCGACCCCAACCAGCTCTACTCGCTTATTATGCTGGATCGGAGGGCGTCGAGATCGATCTTCTCGATCGCGGATCAGTACACGTACATCCACTACTGGGTCGCAAACATCCGCGGATCATCGATCAACAATGGCGATGGAACTCTCGGGAGAGTTTTGGAAGGATACATGCAGCCAGCCCCGCACGACTACTTGCTTCACAATTACGAGTTCCTGCTCGTTCCACAGCAGCAGATGATCAACACCCCTCTCGCTGATCGATTTGTCAAGGATGTTGATAGCATGATGCTCCAGTATAATCTTGGCAAGCCAGTGGCCACCACTTCGTTCACCGAGCAGCTTCGCGCTGGTAGAGGATGTTAGGCGATTGGATAGAGTTTTCATAGAGTTCTTTGTAAAGTTCTTTTCTCATCAATGTTATCCAAACTTTTGGCGAGTTTGAAAGCTCTGGGCCTTGATCCAGTGGTGTTGTAGAGATCGGTAGCTTCTCTGGTACTGGAAGATGATCCAAAATAGGTGCCGGAAGGAGAAGTTGGGCCACAGGACGTTGCAAAAGGCCAAGTGCGAGTGGCAAGCTTGCCAC